CACCCCCCGCGATCGGCCCCGTGCCCGCCCAAGAGGCTCTGTCATCGCCAGACTCCTGGCGATGCCATAGACAGAGCTGCTGAGTTGAGGAAAAGTCTTGCTTCGAGTACTGGCTCCATGGAGCTGGGTGGAGAGGGGGATTTTCTTCCAGAAAACACAGTGGCTGGTTTCTTCCCGATCTGCAGGAGCAGGGGCTATGGGAGGGTGGGGGAGGCTGCCACCCTGCCATGGTTCCTCCCGCCAAATTCCCCAGGCCTAAGGAAAGATCCACAGAAAACCCACAAGAATTTGAATGTCTGAGCTGGGACTGAAAATGAAATGAAATTTTATAAAAAGAAAGAAAAACAAAAACAGAAAAGGAGGGGGAAAATACCCACAAAACCCAAAGCCCCTTTCAGCTCTTGGTGGCCAGGAGGGCCCAAGGCAGTGGCCATGCTGGAGGGTGGCCAGGGGTCCAAGTGGGCTCTGCAGGCTGCTGGGCACTTGGGCCTGCTCTTTGAGCTGGGACTGAAAATGAAATGAAATTTTATAAAAAGAAAGAAAAACAAAAACAGAAAAGGAGGGGGAAAATACCCACAAAACCCAAAGCCCCTTTCAGCTCTTGGTGGCCAGGAGGGCCCAAGGCAGTGGCCATGCTGGAGGGTGGCCAGGGGTCCAAGTGGGCTCTGCAGGCTGCTGGGCACTTGGGCCTGCTCTTTCATCTGTTCAGCTCAAGTGCGTCCTCAGCCTCCCAATAGCACCACACTCAAAGTGTTCAGTGGGGAGCCAGCTGGGCCTGGTCAGGGTCTCCCCCTCCCTCGGGGCTGAGGTCCCTTCCCTTAACCCCAGGCTCCTGCCCACTCCCTCCCTCCCCTCGTCTGCCACTTGGATGACAGAAGTGGCCTCCCAGCAGGTCCTTCGATCCCCCTGCCTGAGACTTGCTTCCCGATCCTGCCCTCCCGAAGATGGCTCTCCTTCCTGCCTGGGTCATCAGCAGGTCCTGGGGTGGACACCCAGTGAGCCAGGAGCTTCGGAGGTCAGGGTTGGGGGCTGGAGAGGTGGGCAAACTTCGTTCTAGATTAGCTGACTCTGAGGGCGGCGAGATGGAGACAAGTTTGTAAGTGGCCCCGCCAAGGAGGAAACGTGGAAATGGCTGTGAGGTCCCAGATGGGCTGCGGGGAGCAGGCCGAGGGCAGTGGTCATGAACTGTAAGTTGTAGTGACACAGGCCGCTCACAGCCCTACCGGTGTCCATGGGAATCGCCACCTCGTGCCGTCCTTATTAGCAACGGCGAGCTGAGTGCTCTCTTTATTCCCACTAGGTGAACACAAGGAAGCACAGAGAGGTCAGGTAACCGGCCCAAAGTCACACAGCCAGTGCGTGGCAGGGCCCTGTTTAAACTCTAGAGACTTCCTGTAAGCTCGGCGTGAGTGTGGGCAACAGGAGACACGGCCCTGCTTTGGGAGACGGGACGCTCGGCCCCAGTTGCGTTCTGCACCCTAGGCGTCCCTTCGTCCTGGGGACCAGAGAAGCGGCTCCGGAGAGCCCGACCAAGGCAGGAGCGCCCCCTCCTGGACGAGTCTGGGCCTGCTCTTTCATCTGTTCAGCTCAAGTGCGTCCTCAGCCTCCCAATAGCACCACACTCAAAGTGTTCAGTGGGGAGCCAGCTGGGCCTGGTCAGGGTCTCCCCCTCCCTCGGGGCTGAGGTCCCTTCCCTTAACCCCAGGCTCCTGCCCACTCCCTCCCTCCCCTCGTCTGCCACTTGGATGACAGAAGTGGCCTCCCAGCAGGTCCTTCGATCCCCCTGCCTGAGACTTGCTTCCCGATCCTGCCCTCCCGAAGATGGCTCTCCTTCCTGCCTGGGTCATCAGCAGGTCCTGGGGTGGACACCCAGTGAGCCAGGAGCTTCGGAGGTCAGGGTTGGGGGCTGGAGAGGTGGGCAAACTTCGTTCTAGATTAGCTGACTCTGAGGGCGGCGAGATGGAGACAAGTTTGTAAGTGGCCCCGCCAAGGAGGAAACGTGGAAATGGCTGTGAGGTCCCAGATGGGCTGCGGGGAGCAGGCCGAGGGCAGTGGTCATGAACTGTAAGTTGTAGTGACACAGGCCGCTCACAGCCCTACCGGTGTCCATGGGAATCGCCACCTCGTGCCGTCCTTATTAGCAACGGCGAGCTGAGTGCTCTCTTTATTCCCACTAGGTGAACACAAGGAAGCACAGAGAGGTCAGGTAACCGGCCCAAAGTCACACAGCCAGTGCGTGGCAGGGCCCTGTTTAAACTCTAGAGACTTCCTGTAAGCTCGGCGTGAGTGTGGGCAACAGGAGACACGGCCCTGCTTTGGGAGACGGGACGCTCGGCCCCAGTTGCGTTCTGCACCCTAGGCGTCCCTTCGTCCTGGGGACCAGAGAAGCGGCTCCGGAGAGCCCGACCAAGGCAGGAGCGCCCCCTCCTGGACGAGTC